GTGTGTGTGTGCGAGGAGGAGGTTGGTGCTTATCAAACCTTATTAGGAAGAGGAGTAGGAGGAGGAGGTGTTAATTTGTAAAAATAATTACGTAAACTGTGTTCAACTTTAGTGGCACACGATTTGTCAATCAGTCAGTCAGTTACAACATAGAACTTCGTACGTGCATACATCAGTTCAGGTTGTCATACTGCATTAGCACAGAAATGCAATAGTCAGTTCAAACGCAATAATGGTAGAGAGAGTAGAAGTATTAACAGTAGTGGAGATGATTATTGTTCGAAGCTACGATTCGTGAGAGAAAGATAGAGATGATGAGTAATTCAGAAGATTAGAATTTGAGAGAACACAAAAAGTGGATGCACCTGCACCATTACAAACGATTTTGAGCCATGTCGTTCAAGGTCTCTAACTATCAGTTACTGTCATATCGCGGACCCTAACCACGTAGCCTATATATCTACCAAAATGACTTAGTCCACTTATCAATGACTTTATGGATTTGTGCCATGTTTTGGTCTGGCCGCCTCTAGCTTGTCTTCAGCCTGCCTCTATATCACAAAACATAGCTCGTTGATGCACACGATTTGACTTCAGTGTGGACGAATGATCATTGAGTGAGTATGCAATGAGATAAATCTATCCTCCTTTTCATTTCCGTATATCACATATTACTTAGGCAAACCTCGTTTGTGCGGTAGTAGTAATTAAAAGACCAAATATAGATTCGGTTGGATAAATTTATTTCAGGCAATCATTTATACGGACAGACATGAAAATGAAAAATATACAAGCAAGCTGAAGAGAAGTGGAGAAGGCCGAGTGAACCAACTCGATTAAGTATTTATAGTCAGACATAATAAGCTAGACATTCAGTGAACGAAGTAAGCGTTCACACTCTCTCTCTCACACACACACACTCAAGCAAAAACAACCAAGATATGAGCAACTGATTGACAAAGTCTAAATTTGTGTGAATAACTCAAGAAGAATGGCTGTGATGCAAATGTGAAGATGTGAATCAGCAAAGCCAGTGTAGCATCTCTACATCTAAAAACAACTATCTATCAATACCGAAGTCAGAATTTTCAATACGAACATCAAGACAGTTCTACTGTATATGTGGTGGGAATATGGCGAACTACATACAAAAGCCATCATCCGCAAGGTACAAGTGTTTATTAACAATTGTCTACCTACACAAGATACTTTGAATCCATTGATCGGACACCATTGTTTATTAATTTTCATCAGTTGGAATCTCTCCAGCTTTGAAAGTGCTCCAGTTTTTGTTCTAGTGAAAATCACGAACTAAACTTAGTTAGAGCATTATTAGAAACTTGGAATCATTAGACAGCCATTTCCTCTTAGTATGGAGCTCTTCAGTAGTACGCATCCAAGACCCTTGTTCGCGTGTTATGCTCGTCAATTGATATGTTTGAATGCTATTATGAGTTGACCTTTGTGGGTAAACCAATTCGAAGACAAGTGATCAAGTGATATGATAGGCTACTCTAATCCGAGCATCTCAAGGCCCCACTAAGTAGATGAAGAAGTCTTGACAATAGGTAGGAAAGGTATTCTACAATCACCCTAAAGATATGAGGTTTCACAATCACACAAATTGAGTTCATTTGTACATGATAGAAATGTCCTTGAGAGAGCCACAAAAATGGCGTACTAAAATAACACATCAACCCATAACAAACAAAGATTTTCCGACTGGGAAATGTCATCTCAAGGTCAACTGTTCAGCTCATGTGCGAAAGCGTAAAATTCAAAATTAAGACATTTATCAAGTGAGTTCTGGTGGATCTAACGTCGTCCTCAACAATGTGAAAGTCAAATCCAATACAGATTAAACTCCACTGGTCACAACTTCTCACTTTATCACTTCATGAATGCATCTTGAATTGATGAAATAGTGAATGAAGAATAAATTTGTTCTATATTTTCTTACCTCATTAATGCATTAACCAAATGTCATATTGTGTTTTTTTCCTTTATTGTGTTTCTTCCTTTCTCTGTGTGTGTGTTGTAGGATTTTCTACAACCATGGATAACTCATCATCAATTCATATCATTTTCATTATATTGTGCTGGTATTGTAGCATTTGTTTTAAGTTTAGTCAAAAGGCATTATATTAAACAATTTACTTTGGTAAGTTCAATATTCAATATTTGATATTATGATGTGATCAATTGTTAAAAATGTACACAAGTTTAAACGTTGATTCAATTAAATTATTTTGCCGGTTTCAATAAGTGAATGGTAATAAGAGTTGTTATATTTTAATAAAGTATAACTCAAAACCAATTACAGACAGATACAGCGCAGAACTTCATACATAAGTACATCAGAGTTCAGGTTGCCATACCACGTCAGCTCAGAGATGTAACTGTCAGTTCAAATCCAAGAGTGATAGTGATAGTAGAATTATTAGCAGTAAGGAGTGAAGATATGATTCGAGAAGTATAATTCAGTGAGATAAATTTAGGAAGAGAAAGATAGAGATGATAGGGAATTCAGAACGTTAGAATTTGAGAGAACACAAAGAAAGGATGCACTTGCACCATTGCAAACGATTCTGAGGCATGTCGTTCAAGTTCCCTTACCATTGGTGACTTTCATCTCGCGGACCCCAACCAGTTAGCCTACATCTCCCAACATAACTCAGTTCATTTGTCAGTGGTTTAGTGGATTTCTGCCATGTTTTGCTTTGGCCACCCCTAGCTTTCTCCCGACCTTCTCCTACACCACAAAACATAGCTCGTCGCGGCATTCGGTAGTTAGGCATACGTAACACATGTCCCGACCACCTCAACTGATGAAGTTTCAATGCTTCATTTACTTATTCGCCATCCTTACCTAGAACTCGTTTCCTAACGATAGCATTGCTTACTTGGTCATCCCAAGATACACGAGCAATGCTTCGGATACACCAATGATCGAAGACTAGTAACCTACGAATGTTCCATACTCTTAACGGCCCTGTTTAGCATCCATGTACTAGAACCGAGTGAACTGCTGCGCAGTAGACTCGTCCTTTGGTTAACAAGTGAATATCTCGCCTACGCCATAAGTGACGCAGGTTGGCAAAAGCCAACCGAGCCTTCTGTATGCGAGCTGAGATTTCGTCAGTCACCAGGCCATCGGCACTGATAAGACTCCCCAGATAAGTGAAGCGGTCTACACGCTCGATTACTTCACTCCCTCAAGACCAATTACATGAATATATGTCTAGTCTGTAAATTAAAAATCATATGTATGCATGTACATAATTTCTCTGGTGAAACCTGAGAATAGTAGGTTTGCGTCTGCGAGACACTCGCAACCGATGGTTAGAGATCTTGGATGACATGGCTCAACATTGTTTGCAAGTGCGCAAATTCATCCATTGTCTATGTTCTTTCAAATTCTAATCTTCTGAATTCCTTATCACCTCTGTCTTTCGCTTTTTGAATTTATCTCACTGTTAATACTTCTACTACCTCTACTTCTATGGTATTTGAATTGACACTCCCATCTCTATGTGCTAATGTGTTATGGCTACTTGAACTTATGTACGCACGTACGTACGTATGTACGAAGTTCTACGTTGTAGCTGACTAACTAGCTGACCTATTTAATGAGTGCAATTATTATTTATTGAAATTATGAATCGATCGATGTTTGAACACTATTAAAAACGTGGAATTACTTGACGGCCGTTTCCTACTACTATATTGAACTCATCAGCAATGCGCATCCACAATCCCCCACTTCCAGGAATCAAACCCATGTACCATGTTTTGGTTTTGGCCTCCCTTAACATTCTTTCAACCTACTTCTACATCACAAAACATAGCTCGTCTAGACAGTCGACGATTTGGCTTGTGTAACACCATCTCCCCAAATCATCTCAGATGTTCACCAGTTAAAAATTGCCTTAATTAACTAAAAATCCACTCTTTATGCTCAGTTTATTGATTCATTCTTTACAAAAAATTACGCATATAAATTTGTTATTATTGTTGATGTTTTTCTCTTCTTAAAATCTAAATTACAGTTTGGTTGGACACATGTTACATTACTGATTTTTGTTACATCATCCTACTTTTGTATTGAAAATATATTCAATGGTTTAATTTGGTAAGTTGATGAAAGCTCTTTACACACCCATGCACACCTTGATGATTTGTTTTACATTGTGTGTTATGTGTTGAAAACGAAGTGATAAACTACTATTTTTTTTTACATAGAGATGTGATTTGTAAAAATGAAAAAGTTGCGTAAAACCAAATTTTTTCATCTCATTTAATTTCGACTGGTGTTGGGGACGTTAGGTCCCCAGAACTCGCTTGATAAATGTCTCTATTTTGGATTTTTTCTTTGGTTGAGCATTGGTTGATCAGTTGACCTTGAGATCACATTTCCCACCGAAAAAATCCTTGGCTGTGATTGGTCAGTGTGTTATTTTAGTGTGCTATTTTTATGACGCTCCCAAGAACGTTTCTATGATGTATAAATAAACGAGAGTTGTGTGCTTGAATGCATTGTGTTCTGGCTGGGTGTTTGTAGAATATACTTTATACGCTACATCAAGACTTTCCGTTATTCAACTGGTCATAGTGGCCTACCCAGACGCTGGTTCATTGTTTCGTTCGCGTTTATCGACTAAGGTGAACCTGTTCATAGTTGCAAGCACATCAAGGTATCATTGAAAGATTTGACGATCAAAAACAAACTTTCCGGTGGTTTGCGATTCGACGTCGGTTTGAACGAATGATTGTGGAGTAGTAGTGCAATGAAATAAATCTTTTCTTTCCATTGCTTCGTATATCGCATACTTTGGAGAAACCACTCACTGGTTTGTACGACAGTGGTAAAATAAGAAGTCAAATACGGAGTCAGTTAGATGAGAGTTTACTTTAGGCAATCACTTATGCAGATAGATATGAGAATACAAAGCGTACATGCAAAGCGAAGCAAAGTCGAGATGGTGAATGAGCCAACTCAATGCGATAAGGCATAACGTAGTATTTATAGTGGTGTGGTATGCTGTGCTGATGTGGTATGGCGACATGAACTGGTGTACTTACGTACGAAGTTCTACGTTGCATCTGACTGACTGACTCTGAGTATTTATAGTCAGATGAAAATAGGGTAGACATGCGATATAAACGAGTCAAGCAATGCACAACATACTCAATCAAGTTAAAACAACTAAGATTTTAAACGAATATTTGGCAAGGTCGAAATATGAGAATAATGGATTGATTAATCAATATGATCAGAGGGTGATTCGGTCGGTACCAAACGTTATACATTTCTAGCTTCAATTAATTTGAGATAATACCCAAAATCATCTTCTAATGCTATTGGTGGGTGGTTGGGTGGTTGTTTTAGTAGCTGCCACACATTGACATGTGAGCTCGACGTATTTGCACACACACACACACACTACTAAGTGAACCTACTCGAGTAATGTAGATCGACTCCAGAACATGTGGCTAATAGTCATTAGAATTGTTAAACTTAATGTTCATCTGATTTATGAAGGGTCGGTCTCTCATACACACATAACATAGTCCTGTTCGTTAATGACACTCTGATCGAAATGCATGTATCGACTAGCACCCCCCTTTGAATGGAAAATGTTATCTGGTATGAATATAATTTAGGAGAGAAATAGAAAAGACTAAATCAAAACTTGGAATAATCAGTTTGTCAAGACAATTAACCAAATGATCTAAACCATAATGACTAGTAGTTAATTGTGACTTCACGTGATAACCGTAATCATTGGTTAAGAAAGTCATTAGATGACCCAATCTCTGATAATAATGAGGCAGATGACTTTTGTGTTAATACTTTATTAGCATTATGAATTTGTGAAGATTGTTTCAGTTACTTTTTGAAATTATGAATCGATCAATGTTAGACCACCATTAGAAACCTAGAAGCACTGGACGACCATTTTGTTCTGGTATGGGACCACTCGTCAGCAGTGCGCATCCACGACTGCTTCTAATCGCAAGATTCGAACCCGGAACCTTCGGTCTTGCTCGTGAACATTACTACTGAGCTGGCAACTAACGATTGTTAATGTTAACCCACAAGATCAACTGCAGCACATACGAAGCATTAAAAAACGAGGCAAAACACCTGATGACTATCTTCCGAAAAAACGGCTACCCACGCAACTTCATCCAAAAACATCAACCGAAACCATCATCAGAAGCGAAATCAAGCACAGAAACTAATAAACGCATCATTTTACCATGCATCAAAGACATATCGGAGCATACAGCACGACTACTGAAACCATTTGGAAAAGGTGTTGCACACAAACCAACCAGAATCACTTCAATTCATCCTATGTTGTAGACCAAAGGACAAAATGACAAAGGAAGAAAAACCAAATATCATCTACAAAATAAATTGCTCAAACTGTGAAAACACTACATAGGACAAAGTGGACGACCTCTTCAGCCCCGTTTACGTGAACATCAATTAGCAGTCAAACGCCACGACAACGCTTCGCTTATATCAATACACACCGACAATCATGGACACACATTTGATTGGAACAATGTGGAAATACTGGGTAGGGGGAGGACAAAGAACACTAGAGAATTTTTAGAAGCTTGGCACTCAGGTCAATTAGCAATCAACAAACACTCGACATTGACTCAATTTATCAACCAATCAGAAAAATCATAGGTGACACAGGATCAAGAAACAGATCAAAAGGGAGGTGCAATCAAAACAAAGTTGCAAACAACGACAGGTCAAAAACCAACAGCAACCAATCAAGATCTAGGTTAGCAGAACAAGCTACAGGTGAAACGTGGAGAAATTCGAATGCTTCACTTCTATCTGAAGTTTGTGCTGATGATGTTGTTCAGAAGTAGAACAATGAAAGCTCCACAACCAAAACAACCAGCTCAGAGAACGAAACACCACCACAATGTCTAACGTCTACCGATCCATGGTTTTTTGCGCAAACCTCATCCACTGTCTTCGATGAGCACAACTTCATACTCGAACACGGTTAAACTCCACTAGTCATGACTTCTCACTAGAATTGTGAAGAACTTCCTCACGTAGATTATTCATTGGTGAACTCAAATCGGCCACCATCCAGTGCTTCCAGATTTCTAATGGTGGTCTAACATTGATTGATTCATAATGTCAAAAAATAATACTTACTTGTCAGTGGTTCTTCATAAATGTGACTTTTTGTGTTATGATGCTCATTATCTGAGACCTGATCGTGATGTATGTGCTAACTCCCTTAAACTAGCCTGTTTAGCTGTTGAATAATATTTACAAATACTCATGTACATATATGTATATACATATATATGTTCACTCCCTTAGAAAATAAATTCATTTCTTGACCAATCATATGCATTTGTCCCTTAGGACATGTTCCAATGACCTTCTCGTTTGGCCAGTACTTTTGATTGGTTGCTCACTGCCTATATCAACATTCATGTGTTAGTTAGTTAGTGAGTGGATGATAGTAACAGTCACGCATTAAAACTATAACTTGATTAAAAATAATTAATAATTGCAAAGTTCCTGTTTTACATTCAGTTCGGTGATTCAACTTTTTTGGATCCTGAAAATGTTGTATCTGACTTCGTGCAGTGTAATGTAGTGTGCGTGTGTCGTTGTGTGTGTGTGTGTGTCTGTGCATACAGTGTTTCATTATTGTGTCAATTTTCATAGAAAAACTAAATTAATGTCAGCTGATCAAGAGTTTTTTAATTAATTTTAATGGTTTCATCAAACTTCTTAGTGTATTGTTGGTAATAATCCAATCGTGGGAATGAACACTCCTTCACCAATTAGATACGCAACCGTAGCTGCTACCTTGACGTGGTAGTGCCTATCGTGATGACCCAACCGAGCTGTATTGGCTGGAATATATGTTCCTAAATGTTCTACCATGCCAAGCAGGTCAATTGGAGAACGATGAGACTAAAAGCGGATACTCAAGGTCTGAGGGTGAAGTCGTACTGCTGACTGTGATGGAGGGGTGTGACAGCAGTATAGTGTTTTTACTCGGACAACCAGCATCTGCAGCAATGCTGCCTTCTTACAAGAAAGTAAGGGTTAGAAAAGGTCGACCCTAAAAATGTCACAGTTCACCCTACCTCACGGATTTCAGTCTCCGTTGGTAAGGGTGCCCACTAAGGGCTTTAAAAAGAGCGGAGCTAATCCTCAAAAATCCTTTCATAGAAAGGCTGTGTGTGACCGGCCTTAAGCAGTTGTCCGCTGGGCTCTGCGGTCACGCTCCCAGGTGGTTAAGACCAACAGTAATCTACCTTCCTTTCCAGGTTCCTCAAGAAAAACCATTCCAGGGTATGGGCAGCTGGGAAGTGACAACCACCCTCATAACCGTAACAGCACACGAGACCTAATTGGTCAAAATCAAATCCTGACTGACCAATTAGATACTGTCGGTTAACATTGAACTAGATGAATGAAACAGTTGAAATTTATTTGATTAAGTAATTAAAATAAATCCAAACACCATAGTCAAAGATGTCAATAATCAATTCTGTATTCCAACTGTAAATAACCTCAGTTTCTTTAATACACAAAATTGGATTGGTTAACACTAAAGTAGTTTACAATCTATTGATTGAAGGTGATCTTACCTGTTGGCACTTATTATTTACTTAAGCCTTGCTCCACCTCTCGTGGAGTATAAGCTGTCGATCAGCATTCTCCAATGTTCTCTATCCTGGGCCTTTTTTTTCAGTTCTGTACAATTTCTGCTCATTCTATTGATATCTGCTTCCAATGCTCGGTGCGGTGTTCCTTGGTCTACTTCTCCTCCTTTGGCCTTGAAAGTCCCGAGTTAAGGCTTACCTCGTGATGCAGTTAGGTACTTTCTGCAGGAGTTACTTTTTGAAATTATGAATCGATGAGTGTTAAACTATCGTTAGAAACTGCGAAGCGCTGGATGACTATTTCGTGCGCATCAGCAGTGCGCAACTCGTTGAATTTGGATCTAGGACCTTCGATCTTATGAGTGAACGCCTAACAGTCACTCATTCAGATGCAACGTCGAACTTCGTACGTAAGTACATCAGTTCATGTTGCCATACCACATCAGCACAGAGATGTAATTGTCAATTCAAATCCAATAGTAGTAGAGGTAGTACGGGTGTTAGAAGTAATCGGAGAGGTTAGGATTCGAAGATACTATTCAAGAAGTATGATTCAGTGAGATAAGTTTAGAAAGTCAAAACTGGAGGGGTTGAAGAATCCAGAAGATTAGGATTTGAGAGAACACAGAGAATAAATGCAGCGGCGCGATTGCCAACGATTTTGAGTCATGTCATTCAAGGTCTCTAACCATCGATTATTATCATCTCGCGGACCCCAACCAAGGTAGTCGACAACTACCGACATGGCTCAGTCCACTCGTCAATGACTTCATGGATTTCTACCATGTTTTGGTTTGGCCGCCCCTAGCTTCCAACCTATTCCTACACTACAAAACAAGGCTCGACGAGGCAGTCGGTGGTTGTGCATACGTAACACATGTCCCAACCACCTCAACTGATGAAGTTTCATTACTTCATCTATTGGTCTGCCATTCTTACCTAGCACTCGTTTCCTAACGACAGCATTACTTACTCGGTTGTCCCACGGTATACGAGCAATGCTTCTTAAACATCTATGATCGAATACTAGTAAACTACGAACATCTTCTACTCTTAACGGCCATGTTTGGCATCCATATAGGATAACGGAGCGAACTGCTGCACAGTACACTCGTCCTTTAGTCAGCAAACGGATATCTCGCCTACGCCATAAGTGACGCAGGTTGGCAAAAGCTAATCGAGCCTTCTGTATCCGAGATGAGATTTCGTCAGTCACCAGGCCATCGGCACTGATGGGACTCCCCAGATAAGTGAAGCGGTCTACACGTTCGACTACTTCACTCCCTATCATTAGTTCAGGCGCCGATACAACCCAATCTTTTGCAACATTTTGCATTTTGAGGGTGAGAACCGCATTCCGAACATGCTCGCATTGTTGCTTAGGGTAGTCAGAAGACTCTGCGAACGCCTAACACCTCTGGTCCACTGAGCCAATCGTCCAGTGCTTCCAGGTCTCTGTAATGATGGTCTAACATTAGTCGATACATGTTGTTTTTTTTCAAAAATTTATTGATCGGAAATAAACTATATGCGTTTTGATGAGAATCAGTTTGAATTTATGTTAAATAATTCAATAACTGTTTATATTTAGTGATTTTAAAAAAAAATCTTACAATATGAAAAAGTTGATTAGTTATTAATTCACTTGTTTGTATGTAGGAGTAGATACTAGTGTAGTGAACGAGAACACAGGTGGGGCAACCGAATTGTATTTAACGATAATTACAGAGTTACTCAGTAAAATCGGAAAACCATATCGTAGATCATTCATTTGCAAAATATCAGTTCATCATATCGAACTGGACTGTTCCTGTTGCAAAACATCAACAATCCATTGTCACTCACTATTCATGCGTTTCATACAAATTCCATTGTGTTTCCACTCTTCTTCCTTTCTTGATCTTCCCCTATCTTCTGCTGCCACCAGACATTACGTTGACACTCACACCATATACTACTTATAAATAGCTCACACCACACAAGTAGTATTTGAGACTGGTAATTTTCATGATTCAAAATCAAGTATTTCAGCTGTTGTTAAAGAACAAGAACTTGTTATATGAAGCAGCTCTATTGATTAGTGAGTGTATTCGTCGGTGATGTTGGTTGTCGATAAGCAAATATTTCAGTCAATGAGTCATAACCAACATAGAACCTTGTGCATATTTGCACATTGAAATCATTCATCCATCAGTCATTGTTAGACCACTATTAGAAGAAACCTGGAAGCACTGAAAGACGGCCGTTTCATCTTGATATTAGATTCAATATCATGCATAACACAAACAAAACACTAATCAGCAGGATGTGATTACATGTTAATCACTTCTAGTTGACATCTAAGTTCCTATTAGATCAGAACCCTCTCCCTTTACACGGCAGGTTGAGTCCAGATGTCTGCTATGCGAACTGTATTGTGGCATATACATGATCACATCATACCATTTAATGTAGATTCGTAGTTATCCGTGAATAGTCTTAAAGTAGTAGCAACAGATTATGAATGACAAATTGTACAACTAGCGTTAATATATATATATATATATATATATAAGATATTTAATTACTGATTGAGTTATTTACTCCACTAGTCACGACTTCTTACCAATGGAGTTCAACCTCTACCGAGTGTAGGCAAGTTTATCTACCTATAGATCAGGGTGCGCAATAAAAACCCTAGATTGATCAAAGTTAGACATTAGCACCGTTGGATGTTGACTCAGTGCGTTCTCACGTATGAGAGAGGGTCCTCGATTTGAATCCTTATTACGCCTACACGTAAACACGTCATTTTGATATGCTTGAACTATTACGAGCTTACCTGATCGGCAAACGAGTGCAAGGATCGAGGATCTGGCGACACGATAGGCTACTCTAATCCGATTATCCCAACCCCCATATTAAGTAAGAAAAGAAGAAGACTTGATATGAAGTAGAACCTATATTCTACAAACATCCAGAAAGTACGAGGTCCGAGTCCAGGAGAGAATCAGGGTTCCCGGATTAGGGATCCGGGACCGGGTCCTGGTCATAAGACGCTACACATAATGCATATTTATGCATTTTGGTCGAATAGGAAACAGCATCAAAGTCTGTGACATTGACAGTTAAGACGACCAATAGGAAGCAACATTTGAAGTGCCATTGTTAGTCAGGACGACCATAAAATTGATCAGTAGGAATTAACCAATAGGAATTGACCAATGATTCTCTTAGGATATTGGATGAATATCCTAACACTCCTGCAAGCGGTCATCTTGGAAGCGCATTTCTGAAGAGTACCATACTAGAACGAAGAGTGGCTATCCAATGCATTCAAGTTTCGAATGATGGTAGTCTAACGATGATTAATTCATGATTTTGAAATGGTTCATAAGTTGTTATTTAAGAGTTCAGAATATAGATAAATGTGTACTATAATGTCGCTTATTTTGTCGGACTATAAGTACTCAGTCATACTTCATCACATTGAGTTGGCTCACTCGACTTCTGCAATTTGCTTCGTTTTGATTTACTTGTATACTTTTCATTCTCATCTCTGTCTACATGAATGTCTACATGCATGAAAATAAACTCATCCACAAAACCCTATTTGATTTCCAATTACTGCCGTCGCACAAACGGAATCCTCCTAAGTATGTTGAATGGAAGGTTTCTTTTTCATCACACATAGTTATGTAACACATCACCCCTAGAACTGAGAGCAGACACGAGAACTGGAAAAGAAATGTCAAGAGATAGAATAGCTTGAAGAATGCTTGTTGGTGGCCAATGCTCAACGAGTAGTAACAGGAGCAAGTAAATAAGTTAGTTAGTTAGTTAGTTAGTTATATAAAACTGTTACGCATGAACGTAAACATGTCATTTTGATATACTTGAATTATTATTACGAGTTTACCTTAGTCGGAAACGAGAGCCAGGATCGAGGATCCGTTGACACGATATGCTACTCTAATCCGAGTGTCCTAACCTACATTGAATAAAAAGAAGAGGACTTGATATGAAGTAGAACCTGTATTCTACAAGTATCCAGAAGGAGACACGGAACCCGGACTAAGGATCCGAGTTCGTTCCCTAAAACGTTACACATAATGCGTTTTCATACATTTAGGTCGAGAAGGAAACAGCATCTAAATCTGTTAGATTGACAGTTATGGCAACCAATAAGAAACGACATTGGAGTACATGACATTGATATTTAGTCCGACCATAAAATTGACCAGTACAAATGAACCAATAGGAATTTACCAATATTAATTCTCTTAGGATATTGATTGGATGAATATCCTAACAAAAACTTTCAAAAATTAAAGATTTAAGAGATTAGGTAGCTAAAATTCGGCGCTACAGTCAATTGAAAAGTCATACATCATCAGAAAGCTAGGGGCGGCCAAACCAAAACATGGCAGAAATCCATGAAGTCATTGACGAATGGACTTAGCCGTGTTGGTAATTGTCGACTACCTGGTTGGGGTCCACGAGATGATAATAATCGATGGTTAGAGAGCTTGAATGACAACATGGCTCATAATCATTCGCAATGGCGCCAGTGCATTTATTCTTTGTGTTCTCTCAAATCCTAATCTTCTGGATTCTTCAACACCTCTACTTTTGACTTTCTAAACTTTTCTCACTCACTCATACTTCTTGAATAATATCTTCTAATCCTAGCCTCTCTGATTACTTCTAATACCTTTACTACCTCTGTGGTGTGAGCTACTTATAAGTAGTATATGACGTGAGTGTCAACGTAATGTCTGGCAGCAGAAGATGGGGGAAGATCAAGAAAGGAAGAGTTAGAACACAATGGAATTAGTATGAAACGCATGAACAATGACATTGGATTGATGTTTTGCAACAGGAACAGTCCAGTTCGATATGATGAACCGATATTTTGCAAATTAACGATTTACGATATGATTTTCCAATTTTACTGAGTGACTCTGTAATTTCGCTAAATACAATTCGGTTGCCCCACCTGTGTTCTCGTTCACTACACCTCTTCTACTACTATTGGATTTGAATTGACAATTACATCTCTGTGTGTGCTAATGTGGTGGTATGGCAACATGAACTGATGTACTTACACGTACGAAGTTCCACGTTGCATCTGACTAACTGATCATCATCATCGCCTTCATTTTTCTAGTTTTTTCGAAATTTTACTTCAAAATCAATTAGATTATAACATGTATGTATGTCATCACACCATAGTTCAATATACTCCATTGTTCAATGTACACTATTTTCTTTTCATTTTAGGTTTCTATTACCAGTTTGTTTAGTTATATGCAATGATATAATGGCATATGTATTTGGATTTTTCTATGGGAAAACTCCATTGATTAAATTATCACCAAAAAAAACATGGGAAGGTTTTATTGGTGGTGGTTTGTCAACTATCATATTCAGTATATTGTTATCTTACATTTTATTAAAATATGATTATTTCGTTTGTCCAATTGAATGGGATGATACAAAAGGTGCATTAACAATGAATTGTACTAGAAATCCTGTATTTATAGCGCATATATATGATTTACCAAAATATTTAGTAAGTTTATTTGTTATTGTTGCTATTGTTGTTATTGTTACTTGTCACTCTTACTTGCTAACTTACTTACTTACTTGCTTACTTCTCTCAGCTTTCATGGAGCATAGGTGTTACGCCTGCACGTAACAACGTCAACTTGATATACATACTTGAACTATTATGAGTTTACCTTAGTCGGAAAAAATGAAAGCAAGGATTGAGGATCCGGTGACATGACATGCTACTCAAATCCGATTACTTCCAACCCCCATATTGAGTAAAAAATAAGAAGACCTGATATGAAGTTGAACATGTATTCTACAAGCATCCAGAAAGTACGAGGTCCGAATCCAGAAGAGAATCAGGATCCCGGATTAGAGATCCGGGTCCTGGTCATAAAACGTTACAAATAATGCATATTTATACATTTTGGTCGAATAGGAAACAGCATCGAAGTGTGTGACATTGACAGTTAAGACGACCAATAGGAAGTAACATTTGAAATGACATTGATAGTCAGGACAACCAATAAGAAACAACATTGGAGCACGTGACATTGATATCTACTAGGATGACCATAAAATTGACCAGTAGGAATTAACCAATAGGAATTGACCAAGAATTCTGTTAGGTTATTGGATGAATATCCTAACAATAGGCCGCCGATTAGCATTCTTTAACCTACTGTGTCTCTTGGGTCTTCCTTTCTGGTTCTAATCGATTATTATTCATGTCTGCTTCTGTTTATCGGCGGTAATGTGTTCTTTGGACTTCTTTTCCGTTGACCCTTAAATATTTCAAGTGAGGGCTTGTCTTGTGACACAGTCGGGTGATTGGTTCAGTGTTGGAGATGTTAGATCGCCAGAACTCGTTTGATAAAAATGCCTTATTTTGGATTTCACGTTTGCCAGCATGGGCTGATCAGTTGGCCTTGAGATTTCATTTCCCACCAGGAAAATCCTTCGCTGTGATTAGCTGCTGTGTATTTTAGTGTTCTATTTTCGTAAATGTCTCAAGGACGTTTGTATGATGTATAAATAAACGAGAGTTGTGTACTTGATTGTATTGTGATTGCTGGATGTTTGTAGAATATGTTTTCTACGCTATATCAAGACTTCTATCTACAGCTTGGGATTCAAGGTAGCCTACCTGGACGCTGGTAATTGTCTCGTTCTCGTTTATCGACTAAGCTGAACTCGTAATAACTTCGAGCGTACCTAGTGACGAACATGACACTCAGTGTGTGTCCTATCCACTCCTAGCGCTTCCCCCTGATTCCCTCCTTCGCCAGGATCTGGTTTGTTCTCTGCCATAGTAGGTTATTATTGATGGTGTCTGGTCAGCGGATGAAGAGTATTTTGCATGGAGAACTGTTAATAAACACGTGTATCTTCTGGATGATGGCTTTCGTTATTCTCCAAGTTTCCTCTTCCATACAATTGATTGATCTGTCTTAACGTTGGTTAAGGAGGAGAAGTTACTTGTCAGCCCTACTTGCTTACTTACTCCTCTTAGCCTTCATGGAGCATAGGCCACCGACCAACATTCTCTAACCGACTCTGTCTCTTGGGCTTTTCTTTTAAGTTCGATCCAATTACTGTTCATTCATTTCATGTCTGTCTCCAATTCTGGACGTAGTGCGTCCTTGGGTCTTCTTCTTTCCTTTTGATCTTTAAGAGCCCGAGTTATGGCTCGCCTCCTTGTTGTGACTCAGTGAGGATATTTCTGCATTTTGTTTCCTATCTACCTCTAGCACCTTTTCCTGATTTCCTCCTCCACTGGAATCTGATTTACTCTCTCTCCCACAGTAGGTTGTTGTTGATAGTATCTGTCCGATGGATGAAAAGTTTCGTGCGTAGACCATTGTTAATAAACACCGTTGTATCTTCTGGATAATTGCTTTCATGTTTCTCCGAATTTTCGTCACATACAGTAAAACTGTCGTGATGTTCATATTGAAAATTGTGACTTTGATATTGATTGATAGTTGATTTTCGAGTTCCAAACGTTCTTCAATTGTAGAAATGCTACCGTTGTTTTGCTTATCTGTGTCTTTACATCGGCATCAGGTCCACGTGGCTCGCGTCTATGATGCTGCCTAGATATGCAAAAGGTTTCTACATCTTCCGGTGCTTCTTTGTCAACAAGTATGATTCGGTTTATTCATCATTCAGTTCACAGTTTTTTGCAAGTAATATGTAACTCATATCATAAATGCACTGTCTGTCAACAAATCTCGTTGATGACAACAACAGGGTTATATATAGAAAGATAAATAAGACGGTTTCGGATGTCTGTATTACGTATATTCTTTTGGTAGACAGATGAAGAAGGCAAACGTGTTCAGTTGATTTAATAAAGTGTGACTCAATAATTTTAGTCAGAAAAAAGAGCTGAAACCATGTTACAAAGAGAATACATGATAGTCGGTTAATCAGTCAGCTACAACGTAGGATTTCGTACGTACTTACATCAGTTCAATTTTCCATAACATTGTAGTGCATAGAGAGATAGAATTGTCAATACAAATCTCATATATATGGTAAATCACTTAGTTTGAGAGTTTCATCGGTGCTGATGGCCTGGTGTCCAACGAAATCTCCAAACAGCTGCAGAAGGCTTGACTAGATTTTGCCAACTTGCGTCACCTATGGCGTAGGTGAGATATCCGTCTACGGGTTCAGTGCGTAGCAATTCGTTCCGTCCTACTTTATGACTGCGAAACATGGTCAGTACGAGTAGAGAATATTCGTAGGCTATTAGTATTCGATCATATTAGTCAAGAAGTGTAATCCAGTGAAATAAATTTCAAAAGAGATAAAAGGTGATGAAGAATTCCGAAGATTACAATTTTTGAGAGTAGACAAAAAATGAATGCATCTGCGCCACTGTAGACTATTTTGAGCTATGTCATTCAAAGTCTCTAAGTATCGGTTTCTATCATCTCGCGTACCTCAACCAAGTACTGGTAACTTACTAACTTGGCTTCATGGATTTGTGTGATGTTTTAGTTTAGCTACCCCTAGCTTTCTTTCAACCTACTCCTATACCACAAAACATCACTCTTCAAGGTAGTCGGTGGTCAGCCAGTCAGTTGCAACGTAGAACTTCGTACGTATGTACATAAGTTCATGTTGCCATACCACATTTGCACAAAGACGCAATGTCAAATCAAATCCCATAACGATAGAGATAGTAGATGTATTAATGGTAATGAAGAAGACTACAGGGTTTGAAGATATTATTCAAGAAGTATAATTCAGAGAGATAATGTAAGAAAGACAAAGGTAGAGGTGCTGACAAATCCAGAAGATTAGGATTTGAGAAAGCGCAACGAATGGATGCACTTGCGCGATTGTAAACGATTTTGAACCATGTCATTCAAGGTCTTTAACCATTGATGACTTTGGTCTCGCGGACCCCAACCAGGTAGTCTACATCTACCAACATGACTCAGTACATTAGTCAGTGACTTGATGGATTTGTGCCATGTTTTGTTCTGACCGCCCCTAACTTTCTTCCAACCTACTCCTCTACACCACAAACCATAGCTTGCTGGTGGTGATAGCTGAGCTGTCGAGTATATATATATATATATATATATATATATATATATATACAACTGGACTAAGCCCTGCTGATCAGTGTAGACTACCAGGTTAGGGTCTGCGACACACTGGTATCCGATGGTTACAGACGTTTGCATTGGCGCCAGGTGCATTCACTCTTTGTATTCTCTCAAATCTTCTACTACTATGTGATTTGAATTGACACTTCCATATCTCTCTGTGTGTGTTAAATGGTATGACAACTGGAACTGTGATGTACGTACGTACGTATGAAGTTCAACTAAATCTAATGGTGGTCTAACAATGATTGATTGATGATTTCAAATGTGTAAAAACGCAAACCTCCAAAACTGTGCCCCAAAATATCGTAACAGTGCTCACTAGTGACTAGCTTCGTGAGGAAATTCTCGGAGTTCTAGTTGAGAAGACATGACCAATGGAGTTCAACCCTGTCGGGTGTAGGCAGTAACTACTACCAAAGACAACTAATCGGTGAGGTCACGCAAAATCCCTAGATCAATCAGAGTTAGACATTAACACCGTTGGATACCGGCCTAGTGGTCCGATGGTAAGGCGTTCGCCTACAATGCCGAAGGCCCTGGGTTCGAATCCTGCGTGGAGCAGGAGTCGTGGGTGCGCACTGCTGATGAGTCCCATGCCAGGACGAAACGGCCGTCTTTCAGTGCTTCCAGGTTTCTAATGGTGGCAGTCTAACAATGATTGATTGATTGAGATGATTTCAAATGTGTAAATCAGAAATATTTACAAGTTAATAATTGTTATTTTGTTCTTATTCAAATAAACATCCATGTTTAGTGTATTTTCTCTCATCTCTCTCCTATGTTCCCTCCATGTGTAATTTTAGTTCTTTCTTCCAATCCACCAAATTACATGGTATCCTTTCATTCAACATTGTTTAATTATTAGTTTGTATACATCAATTGTTGGTCCATTTGGTGGATTTTTTGCTAGTGGTTTTAAACGTGCATTTAAAATTAAAGATTTTGGTGATTTATTCCCTGGACATGGTGGTGTAGTAGATCGATTCGATTGTCAGCTATTAATTGGTACATTTGTATTATTCTATTATAATTCATTTGTGAAGTAAGTTAATTTGTTCAATGTTTCAATTGTTTTTAATTGTTTATACACATGTACAATTTGTGCATGTGTTTTTTTGTGTGTTGATGAAGTATAAACCAGCGAACATTCTGTTTATCATCATTATCGTGTGTGTGTGTGTAGGTTTGGGTAAATGTTGTAACACTTTGCTTAAATAATTCCCGGTTAAATCCTAATGCTGAGTAGTATTCTCTGACCACACAATACACTGGACAAGTATTCCAAAGAATCAAAAAACACGGTTGGTTGAACAGGAATAGAGATTATATTCCAAAATAGTAAGGAATAAGAAGCCAGAGGTGGTAGCGAAAGCCAAGGCAAAGTCTATAATCCTGAATGTGGAAATACTTTTCTGACGTGGTTCAAACGTTGGGAAGATACATTTAGAATTGAATTCGGTAAACAAGATGATGCATGGAAGACTCGGTTGTTGCTGCGTAAGTTGGGAAGCAATGAGTATGAACGTTACGCTGACCACGTATTACCGAAGTTACCTCGAGAGCTCAGTTTCGAGGAGACAGTAACTCAGCTGTCAGATATTTTCGGCGAATCATCATCATTGTTTAGTATTAGATATCATTGTCTAAATCTGGTGAAACATGAAGATGATGAATATGCGGTTCTTGCAGACGTCGTCAACAGAGAATGTGAACGGTTCAAGTTACGCTCGTTGACGGAAGACCAATTTAAATGCTTAATATTCATCAAAGCTCGTCAGTCACCGCAAGATGCTGAAACCAGAACTAGACTTTTGATTCGAATGGACCAAGACCCTAACGTCACACTCAGAACATTGACAGATGAGTGTAAACGCCTACAAAGTATCAGGCACGACAACATGTTGATTGAACAGGTAAATCACAATTTAACCAGCAGTAGTGTCAATGCTATTACTAGGTTAAAAGTCCAGAAGCCGATAGCATCTCGTAACAAACCAACGACGGCATGTTGGTTATGTGGTGATTGGCACTACGTACGATTTTGTCCATTTAAAAAACATAAATGTCAGATGTGCCATAAACGTGGACATAAAGAAGGCCATTGCCAACCAGATCGTACGTCTCAGCCCAAGAAGAAGCGCAAACGTACTCGACATGTGGTGAAATCAGCCGAGTCTAAATCACTTTCTCTCGTAGCTGCTTTTCAAACAGAATATGACGTTCGGAGAAAGTATGTTACTATCCAGATGAACGGTGCATCAGCTCGTTTCCAAATCGACACGGCATCAGATATCACCTTAATGTCTAGAGAAACGTACAACATGCTGGGAAAACCGCCAATGAAGCCATCTAAGAAAACAGCTAAAAGCGCTTCAGGTGGTGTGTTAAAACTGGTTGGTGAGATGCAGTGTGAATTTTCCTTCAACGGAAAAAAGTGTACAGGAATATGCTATCTGACAGAACGGCCAAACCTTGATCTTCTTGGTCTAGATATGCTAGAAAAACTGGGAATAATGGATTTACCCATTAACAGTGTCTGCAGCGTATCGTGTTCATCATTGGACACCCCGATACTTAAAAAGAAGACAGGTGAAAGGTTACAAGATAAACGAAAGAGGAAGCCAGCCTCTGTTTCTCAGAATAGCCTTGGCCGCTGTACGAATCTGAAAGCTAACCTACCAGCGAAAGCAGATGCCAAACCTACTTCACGTCCGAGACGCCCTATACCATATGCTGTTCATGAGCCTCAACAAAACTTATCGGTGGGGAAGCAGCCCAATCGACGGTTGTTTAAAGATATGGTTTCTACAAAGCAGGCGGCTCGTAAGAGTACGGGTGGCAAGGCACACAGGAAGCAGTTGGACTCTAGCACCAGATCCTACGAATTTTCTCAAAGGGGAGGTGTTAGCGGGACATAGATGGAATCGAAGCACGACTACGTTGCTGCGCGCTAATTGGCTAAATTTCTATCCAATCAGCGCCTGATCGAAGCTTGGAGAACAGGATAGAAAATTCTCGTATTATTAGCTGCATGCTGATCACGTGAATTTTCTTCCAGAAGTTTTCTCATCTAAAGGTTATAAATAGACTCGCATTGTATTTATCTTTGCCTTCTAGCCTTCTTAGCCTTCAAGCCTTTTTGCCTTGGATTTCGCCATCACCTCCAGCTTCTTTTCCTTGCTATTTCGGAATACAATCCTTCCTGTTCAACCGTGTTCTGATTTGTGTTACTTGTCCAGTGTTTTGTGTCAAGAATACTAAGCAATAAGATTTAGCTGGGAAATATCTTAAGCAACCGTTACAACAGAAGGCAAAGAATAAATACAACGCTAGTCTATTTATAGCATTTACATGAGAAAGCTTCTGGATAGTAGTAACTCACGTGATCGACTGGATTAGATTTAACCAATCCGCATGCAGCTCTAATAATACGAGGATCTTCTATCCTGTTCTCCAAGACTCGATCGGGCGCTGATTGGATAAGAAAAATAGCCAGCAACGCGCAGCAACGTAGTCATGCCCTTTAATTCCATCTATGTCCCACTAACAGTAAACTACAAAAATGTACAGTGCAAATAATAGGTAGTACACTGTGGACTCCTATTCACAAGTCACAGTTGGGCAATAGGAAATAGCTACCCGACCATAGCTGGCTATCTTGATGTGGTACTTGTCGGGCTTGCTTATCGTCGTGATCCAACTGAGCTATATTGGCTGGAACATATGTTCCTGAAGGTTCTACCATGCCAGGCAGGTCGATTGAAGAACGATGAGACTGAAACCAGCTACTCAAGGTCTGAGGGCGAATTCGTACTGCTGACTGACTGTGATGGAGGGGTGTGACGGCAGTAAGGTGTTTCCCTCGGACAACCAGCATCTGCAACGATACTGCCTTCTCATAAGGAAGGAAGCTGTTAGAAAATGTCGACCCTAAAAATGTTACACCTCACCTTACCTCACGAATTTCCGTCTCCGTCGGTAAGGGCTGCCCATTAAGGGCTTTAAAAAGAGCGGAGCTGATACTCAAAAAACCTTTCATAGAAAGGCTGTGCGTGACCGGCCTCAAGCAGTTGTCCGTTTGGCTCTACGGTCACGCTCCCAAGTCTCTAAGACCAACAATAATCATTTACCTTCCTTTTCAGGTCCCTCAAGAAATAGCCAATTTGTAAGTTGATTAGTAGTCCTTTCATAATCCTTGGTCCTCTATATGAACCGTCGCTTTTGAAAGCAGCGGTTTAGGTGTGTATACTTTGGATAGACTATTTAGCTGTAAACGTTGTATGCTCTATTTATCATCTCATCACTCTTGTAAAAAGTTCTTCCACTGTTTTCAAACAGTGGACAAGATTTTCCTATCATTGGTTATAAACATTTGGTAGCATAAAAGTATTTTTGATAGGGAGAGTGAATGATCTCCGCCTTTGGCTGTACAAAATTACTTCAGGCGCCGTTATATATATATATATATTTTTTTTAAGAGGTTATATACCGACTAGTGAATAAAATTCAAATTGTATAATTCAGTTTATCAATGTGACTTATTAACTAGACGGAATTGGCATCCACGTTTCCCATTCGAACTAAACTACAAAACTGATCATTACAAACAAAGTGATATTTTTTGTCAATAAAAAATATTTGAAATCACCAATCAATCATTGTTAGACTGCCACCATTAGAAACCTGGAAGCACTGAAAGACGGCCGTTTCGTCCTGGTATGGGACTCATCAGCAGTGCGCACCCACGTCTCCTGCTCCTCGCAGGATTCGAACCCGGGACCTGCGGCATTGTAGGCGAACGCCTTACCATCGGGCCACTGGGCCAGTATCCATCGGTGTTAATGTCTAGCTCTTATTGATCTAGGTATTTTGTGCGACCTCACCCATATGTCTTTGGTAGTTACTGCCTACACCCGACATGGTTGAAGTCCATTGGTCACGTCTTCTCGATTGGAACTCCGAGAATTTCCTCACGAAGCTAGTCACTAGTGAGAACTGTTACGATATTTTGGGGCAGAGTTTTGGAGATTTGCGTTTTCACACACTGCTGATGAGTCCCATACCAGGACGCAACGGCCGTCCAGTGCTTCCAGGTTTCTAATGGTGGTCTAACAATGATTGATTGATGATTTTAAATGTGTAAAAACGCAAACCTCCAAAACTCTGCCCCAAAATAAAAATATCATAATTTGCATAATGCAAAATTATAAAACGTACCCCACTAGTGATTAAATACGTAAGGAAATTCTTAGGATTCTATAATGAGAAGACGTGTGTGATCAGTGGAGTTCAACCGTATCGGGTTTAAGGAGCAATTACGAAAGACAAATGGGTTAGGTTATGCGAAATCCTTAGATTGATCCGAGTAGTTATACATTTATACTATCGTACGCGGCTCAGTGGTCCAGAGGTTATATGTTCGTACGCAAGAACGAAGGTTCCGGGTTCAAATCCTGCAAATGGCAGCAGTGGTGAATGCGTGTTATGCCTGTCACTAGGGGTGCTTGAAACTATTACGGGTTCACTTTAGTCGATAAACGAGAACGAAACAATGAACCAGTGACACGGTAGGCTACTCTGATCCGTTGACCCAAAGTAACTAACGAGAAGTCTTGATATAGCGTAGAAAAAGTATATTCTACAAACACCCAACCAGCACAATGAATTCAAGCACACAAATCGCTTTTATTTATACATCATAGGAACGTCCTTGGGAGAGTCACAGAAAATAGCACACTAAAATTACACAGTAACCAATCACAACCAAGGTTTTTCCTGGTGGGAAATGTGATCTCAACGTCAACTGATCAACCCATGCTCGGAAATATAAAATCCAAAATTAAGACGTTTATCAAGCGCGTTCCAGGGATCTAACGGCCCCAACAATGCGCACTATTGATCAGTCCCATAATATCAGGACGAAATGGCCGTCTCAACAGTGCTTCCAGATTTCTAATGATGATGGCTTCTAACAATGATTCATTCATGATTTCAGTGTGCAAAAAACACTAATCTCCATAGCTCTAATTCGTAAAATGTGCTCACTAGTGACTAGCTTGATGAGTGGGTGTAGGCAATAACCACCAATGATAAATGTGTGAGGTCACTCGAAATCTGTAGATTTATCAGAGCTAAACATTAATACCATCGTACGCGGCTCGGTAGTCCAGAGGTGAGGTGTTCACACGCCAGAACTAAGATCATGGGTTCGAATCCTGCGGGTTGCAGGAGTCATGGATGCTCACTGCTGATGAGTAGTCCTATACCAGGAGGAAACGGCCGTCTCAAACAGTGCTTCCACCTTTCTAATAGTAACGGTCTAACAATGATTGGTTCATGATTCAAATGTAAAACTATTGTAGTGAAGGTGAACACAGGTAAGGGCAACCGAATTGTATTTTTAACGAAAATTACAGAGTTACTCCGTAAAATAGGGAAACCATATCGTAAACGGTTAATTTGCACATCTTCAATCCATCATCAATCCATTGTCTGACATTTCACTATTCATGCGTTTCATACAAATCGCATTGTGTTCCCACTCTTCCTTTCTCTTGATCTTCCCCCATCTTCCGCTGCCACCAGACATTACGTTTTTACTCGCGTCATATACTACTTATAAGTAGCGCGCACCACACTACTATCATCAACTTATAGTCAGTCACGTACCATTTAAACAAGTACATTCAATCGAAGGTCACCACTAACTCATTGATTGATTTAAAAAAAATACATAAATACATGATTTAAAAAAAAGTTCAAACCTCAATAAAATAATCTGACCATTAAAAAATTATTCGTTGGTTTTTTTAAAAACAAAAATCCTGTTCAATGTTAAATTGTTTTCAAATAATGTACTAATAGTTTGTTTTTTTTTTATTGTTAATTGTTCAATGATGAATAAATAGTTTTTTAATATGTTAAAAATTCAATTCAATTCAAATAACTATTCACATGATATTTATTTATAAATTATATATTTTTTTATTGTTGATGATGAATAAATACCATTGTAACATTGAACAAACAAATTAACAAAGAATTAAGATATTCTATTACACATACATTGATTGTATGAATCGAATAAGTTTAAATATACAATTTCGATTGATGCTTATTTAATCTATTGATGATTCGAGATAATCTAACGCCAATTTAAACGAACCATTGAATAGGTTTGGATTAATGTTGGTCCTTAAAGACCTAGGAGCGTGACCGCAGAGCCTAAATGAACAACTGTTTGAGGCCGGTCACGCGGCGCCTTTTTATGGGAGATTTTTAAAGTGTTAGTGTTGTTAAAAAGGTTTTACCTCCGGAAAC